TTGATTAAGTCCGTCCAGTCGAGACAGGAGCACCATCTCAAACACTTTTGACAACACAGGGGAGAGTGATATGCCACGGTAAGAGTTCGGGTCTTTCTTTGATTTATTCCCACCTTTGTACAGAGGCACCAGGATGCTCTCGTGCCAAGCTGTCGGGATATGTCCGGATTCAAGAATGATGTTGTAGAGGGTTGCCAAGTGAAACATCAAGGTTCTGTCACCATACTTTAGGTGCTCGTACACGATCTTGTCAGCACCACCAGCTTTATTGTTCTTCAGCTTGGCACAGCACTCAGCGACTTCCAACTCTGTGAATTTCATTGGCTGTGGATCACGTTCTTCCTTGCATTTAACGCGGATCTCCTCAACTAGGGATTCTATCTGCTCACAGAAGGAAGAGTTGAAATTGTCGTGGTCTTTGGCAGCATATACATCCTGAAAATGGTTAGCCCAAGCATCAAATATAGCCTCTGGATCACTGTGCATATGAGTACCTTTCTTTAGCTATAATATATTTTTGACAACCAATGCAGTTCTATCGCTAAACGTGTTTCTTTTCAGTATCGCGGACAGTGTTTGTCACAAAACATATTTCGGGAATCAATGACATGGTTAACGTAAAATGCATTTGAGTAATATGCATTTATATTGAATTAATAAAACTATTAATTAATATACTGCAATTCATAAAGCAGCCATGTGTTACCAACTTTATCAAGTTGATGTTCTATTCATATTTGGCCACATTGACTCTGTCATTTCCCTTTTCAATAAAAGTATGTAATTCCAAATTAGAATATTTTTGTTTGTTTAATTTGTTATTTATTTTCTAAATACATTTGTTCTGCATCAGCAATATTTTGCCAATTTAAATATATTTATATTTGTTAGGAACTATTTGAGATCAAATAGTTTCTAACAAATATCAATATTGATATGTGCAAAATAGTTTTTAATTTGGAATAGTTACAAAATATTCAATAGAGACAATTGGCTTTATGCAATGTAAAATGCATGTGTATAAATACTTGAGGTACTAATATAAGCACTATGTAAACTAGTTGGTAGGCTTAACAATTTTACTCTTTTCAAGTCCAAGGGATGACTGTATGCCAGTTCAGGTGACAGAATGACTCAAAGATACATGAAATAAATTGTTTGTTGTTTTGCAAATGTGAAAGAAAATGCATTATAAATTTTACTTTGGATAGATGACAGGGATCTGCATGTGTCAAATTGTTTCTTTGCCATGCTGTAAATATACTGATAATGATATATTGAATACAGGGATTGGGATGGAGACCTTCGACATTTTCAGGATTATTAGCCATTTTCTGAATTTAGAATGGGCCACTGCCCTTGTATCAATAGTAAACTTCAAAATTTTAATGGGGCATTTTTCTTCTAATGTGCAAAATGGCCACTGTCTTTCCCAATGCCTGGAATAAATAGCAGTTCTTGTAACATTATAATTTTTTTTATAAATATATGAACTTTCCCATTTATGATGACGTTTTTATTCACACAAGAAGTCATAGTGTCACGAATCAATCAACAGCTCGACAAAATAACCTTGATGACATGGTTACAATTATTTCGGTTACTACTGTCAGATATTCAAAACAAAAATGTGAAAACCCTCAGCCATATGAATATTCATCATGAAGCAATTATTTATCAAATTATGTAAACATTATTTTAGAGGTGATTTATAAAAACTGGTTGTTGCACAATATTTATTACACTTTGTACTGGATGTCTTGGAGTGAGTGCACACTGTACTATGATCTAAAGTACATGAGTGTTACTTAGTTCTTGGTTATGCAGGGGTGAGGTTCTGCTATGCTGTAAGCAAAATATGAAGCAGCACACAACACCTTCAAGTCACAATTGGCAAAAATGCAAGACCAAATACACTCAAAATTTGGAGTAATCACTCAAAGATATTTCCTGTATTGTAAAATATACTAATCAATACATGGGGAAACTAAATGTGCATATATACTATGTCATGACTGTAGATTCTGCAGACACTGGCTGATAGCAGCATGAGTATGATTACTTGTCATGTATTGTAATATAGTGTTTTTCACCCATATTTAGTAACTTACATATTCCAAATATTCTGCCGATGAGGCCAAGGTTGGTAACTGGCATTCCATATTTTCCACTATACAGTTAGACCAATATGTTTTAAAATAATGGATAAGAATAATGTGTACTGGTTATTGTGCTATGAACCAGTGTTGTAATCTTACAGCAAATAAAAACAAAGAATTTCATATTTCAACAAAATTCCATGTCATGTAGAATCACATGCCTATGCCATTGATTAAGTTTAACTTTTCATTGGAAAGCATGTTTTTTTCATGGAAACTGGAGTAGTAGGGTAACCTAGTGGTTAAACTGTTGACACTCGTCACACTGAAGGCCCGGGTTTGATTCCCCACATGTGTGCAAAGTGTGAAGACCATTGCTGCTCTCCCCAGCATTATGTTGCTGGAATATTGCTAAAAGCAGTGTAAAACCCAACTCTCTCACTTGGAAACCTTTGCTATATACACTGAAAATCTAATCTCCTACATCCATCGTTGTATATTTACTGTCAAATCAATATCATGGCTAAAAGCAAAAATCTTCCAAACCATTCAATTTGTGCTTGCTTTATCCACACTTAAAAAACAATAAACAAGTTTTAGAACTATTCTGCAAGTTTATTCCCAAGACATAATTACTCGTAACATATCAAACATTCTTTGCATTTCCCAGATGCTAAACCTGAAAAAATACTGTAACAGTATCATCTGGAATACAAATGTTCTTTCATGGTCACTCATCTAAATTCTCACTGAATTATCTGAGAGTCCCAAGATGTCACAAGACTTTCCAAAACACCTTGCTGGTTACAAGCATTTCCTGTTCCAGCAAGTTTCCAAAGGATGATGTGTAGAGCTTTAATATGTTTTATAACTGTATATACAACACTTCAATGACTTGCCGTTTCTTCATTTGCAATGTATATTGCTTGACCACCAGATGTTAAAAGAAATCTGAAGATCTGTTTCAGTTTGTGTTGCTCTTGATGCCAATGGTAATTGTGGTGATAAAGAAATCTATTCCTCCTTCTTTCTCCTCTTAAAGATATGCATCTGTTCCAACTGAAAAAAAATACATAACACACGTTAGACCAAGTATGATATACTAAATAAAATGTAAACACTAAAACAGTTCCTTACAATGTTGACATCAAGCATGTGGATGTTATGTTTAACTGAACATGCTGCACCATAACCAAATGCTAAATGGGGTTGTAATAATACATTAATCAAGCTCATATTACAGAATACATTTGTGAGAGACACCTATTCAGAGCTATTGGTATCAATCAAAGTGTGGATATAATCATCATTGTTTACGCACTATTAAATTATTATTTAATTCATTACATTTATTTTTTTAGAATTACACCTGGATTTTCATTGCACATTAAGTTATCTTCTGGATAATTCCAACTGCAAGATACTTTACTTATTAACACAGTTTTTTGGGTACACATGCATTATACTGGATACCTGCCTGTCCTATTTTATTAGGTCCCCTCTCCGGGGGGACAATAAAATCCCACTGTAAGATATCAAATGCAATCAAACGATTAACTAATCTGCATATATGTCAACTCCACCCTTATTGTGCGTGCCATGCTTAAACAATACCAGCCTTTAAATCAAAACAAAGAAATCCATGTAACAAACTTACCTCGACTAATGAACAGGACCTGATGAATGGGCCAGCCTGAAGACGACGCTGTGACAACTCTGCATCTGTTTGGCAAATATTCACGTGCTGTTCATGCAACATTGCCTTAGTGCTTTAGCAGTCCATAGTCTGTTACATGGCATAGGTTTATGATTCACACAGCCAGTGTCGAGTATGATTATCCACGGCATACCCCATGTAACAGTGTTATCGCCATTGAGGAAAAACGTTGTTTGTCACCGGAAGTACTAAACAACGTAATCTCTCGCGAAGTGCCGTGACCTACTTACGGGCCCTATACTGTGACACGTCCCTGTGCATAGCGCCAATACTCAGAAGAATATTATATACCTGTAATACTGCGACGATCTCAAGCACTTACTGCAATACTGCGATACGCCCCAGTACTTAGCGCCAATACTGCGAAGAACACCATACCATCAAAACTGTGACAAATCCTAGTATTTTGTTTGTGTGTTTGATGTTGAACGCCGCGCTCAGCAATTGTCCAGTTGTCTGTTAATATCCGAGTCTGGACCAGACAACCAAGTGATTGACATCATGAGCATCGATTTATGCAATTGGGATACAATGACGTATGTCTGCTACATCAGCGAACCTGACCACCCGATCCCGTTAGTCGCTTCGAACGACTTGGGTTGCTGAAGACAATTCTAAGTCGTTGCGAGTACTTTACGTCAATACCATGTAGATCCCCAATACCTACCGCAAAAATATCATAACTCCAGTACCTAGCTCAATACGGACAGAAACAAACACATGTATTTGACACAGCAGTTTCATTAATTTACATGGCAATGTTTACACCAGAATATTCCATGAGAATTTGTCGAATATGTCGAATTTTATCGTATTTCCCCATCTGATCATCCCTGATGGCAGTACGTGTATATACTATACAACCCATCAAAAGTTTAGACTCTCTTAAAGCAGTCACTATGTGTTATGTATTTATTTTTTATGTGGTTACATCGAATATGAATTTCTCCACTAACTTGGGTGAACTAAGTGCAAACCTTATGCAGATGAATTGCACGAAGATCATGCATCAACTTGCTGAAGAGCATGTGCACATATCGTCCATGTAAATAGCTGCGTTTTGGTGTAAAACTTTGTTAAGAATTCACTAATTTTCACTGAGTTTCATCATTTATTGAAATCATGGCAATAATCTTTTCAACGTTACGAATTTGTTTTACAATACATCAGTTCATGTATAAACAGTTCCTTTAAACAGTATGGAATAGTTTGCAAAATCAAGTTTAGAGCAGTTGACTGAAGTAAGTGGCTACATTTACACTAGTGAGTGTAAACTTTTGATAGGTAATACAGTTTGCACTCGAAGTGACGAATACAGTTGGATGTTTGTTTATAGATCATGACCACACAAACAAGCGATAAAAAACATTGACACCTTTTGTAACGCGCTTCAGACGATAGAACAGTGTCTTTAAGCTATATTCGACTGGATGTGTGATGCTTCTGTGGCAGGTGCTTGTGGAGGAAGTGGAGGATTCTTTTCCAGGCATCCTCCTGGGCTGCAGCATGGGCTTCAGGTTGTCCTCCCATTGATATCGTCATGCCTGTTGGCGAAACGAACCCAGGGCCAAATAACGAACAAGGTGTTTTTTTTAAGAATACGTCATCATGTTTTAAACCATCAAATATATCCACAGGTAGTAAACGTGACTTTAATTCTGAATAACTGCCTTAATGTGAGCAGAAAGATAACGTGAGTGAGTGAGTTTAGTTTGACGCCGCACTCAGCAATATTCCAGCTAAAAGTCGGCGGTCTGTAAATAATCGAGTCTGGACCAGGCAATCCAGTGATCAACAGCATGAGCATCGATCTGCGCAATTGGGGACCGATGACATGTGTCAACCAAGCCAGCGAGCCTGACCACCCGATCGCGTTAGTCGCCTCTTACGACAAGCATGGGTTACTGAAGGTTCATTCTAACCCGGACCTTCACGGGTGAGAACGATAACGTAAGGATCGTGCATATTTCCAGGGATAATGGGTTTTTTTTCGGTTTTTTATTGTTTCGTGACGCTGAACCTACCGCTATAACAGGAACTTGACGGCGGTCTGTAAATGATCGAGTCTGGCACAGATAAACCAGCGTACGACATCATGAACATACATTAGGATACGATGACATGTGACAGTCATGTCAGTTAATATGGGCACCGATCCCATTAGTCGCTTCTTATGAAAAGCATGGTTAACTGACGATTAATTCTAACCCGGATCTTCACAGGGTCGAGTGGTAAAAGTCACAAATTGTTTTAATATAGTGTGTCTGCTATCCACAAAATAGATGCACAAAACTCATTATAATCGTCCTTTTGCAGAATTGAATCATCTGTCGGTCCAGATTTGAATAAATCATTTTATGACGACAAGACACCAGCCATACCAGATATACACATGATCAGTTATCAAATAAAGCAGAACTACAGAAAATTATACTGTAGTTGCTGATAACCTATTGCGCTCTTTTATAAGGTTTTGTAACGTTTATGGTGATATGATAGTTTGATGTAATATTCTAATTTTATTTTACAATCGTTTGGTTACATGTTTTCATGGGATATATGTAGTTATTAACATATTTTCAATTTCGTATGCTAAAACATGCATATATGACATTAGTTATTTTAGCTCACTCACTGCAAGGTTGTTCTGAGTGATTGGATTGTTTCGTATGGTACTTCGATATCTTATACGCAACATCCACAAATAATTGTATCCAATAAGTTGGCATGTCTTGATACAAATACTCACCAATGGCTTTCATGAATAATGATGTGAACAACGGCGTATATGGCGGTTCGATCTCATGTCCTGCCCCTGGATAGATGATGAGTTCAATGTTCTTCTTCTTCTCTCCAGGACATGTCTCAATAACTGTGTTAGCAAAGTCAGTTCTCCATAAGTCGTCATCTTCTCCACACAAGTATAAGATCTTGGCATTATTAGTCCAGGCCTGAAAACATGTCAGCACTCTGCCATATAATCATGAAGCATCAGTATCTTATTTCCCAGTTTACAGAACACTTCAAAGTGAAGATGTGAATTACAACTTATAGTCACATAGCAAACTTTCAGCCATATCTTGTCTACCACAGAACATATGCTACTAATAGATACTATTATAGTATCATAAAATCTGTCGTCAAAGGATAATCAAATAACAAGAAAATCACAGATATTTAAAACAAATACAATATGGAAACGGGCTATTGATCCCCAGCAACCGAAGGTAGATTACCACACAAGGGACCGTGGGGACCCATAGTACTTTTGGTGCCTGCATGGACCCTCAGTGGATTTACATTCACAGAAAATGAAAACTACTTTACTGCAGCAGAGTTGGTAATGTTTGACGGAGTTGAAGTTTGATCTGTGGGCATTTTTGGCATCAGGGTACGAATGAAATGTTTTTGTTGGACATTTAAGTTATTTTATTTGTGATTACCTTTGCCACAGGAGGCAGGATGGGTGCCATCACATTTAGCGCACTTACATGTCATTGATCCTTGTATAATGAACTTTGCTTTTTTACAAAGACTTATTTTGATTGTGAAAAGTAGTTTGGCGACTATTTGTGACCAGTTTAGCATTTTGATTAAACCTACAGGTGACAGTTATAAATAACTAGAAGCATCTCTAATGGTGGTGGTGGTGGATTTGGGTTTAACGTCGTGCTTGAGAATATTTCGCTCATATGACGACGTGCATGCGTGTGTATGTGTATGTGCGGCTGCTTGTACTAGCCCAGACTGAAGCTGGTTTTTTATAGTGCTAGCCCACTGAGATACCATGCCGCAGAGAAGCATGAATACCCCACTAAGACACATTATACTGACTCCGAGCCGACCAGTCCTTGTTGTACCCATTAATGCCGAGCGCCAGGCAGGGACCAACAAGTACCATATTTTAACGTCTTGTGGTATGATGACAGGTTTCTGTTAGTTCTAAGTGACGCAACTCGTCACTGGGGATTGGGGCAGGTGAGCTGTTCTCCCGAAATATGTTAAAACGTATAGAAACTAATAATGCAAGCAATATGCTTTTTAACAGATAAATAATGCAATCAACGCTACTGACCGGAATGATCTCATTGTCATAGGAGAAGCTGTTTTTCAGAGAAACACCTTCATCCCGGTGCATCATCTTACTTTGATTTAACCTGGAAATGAAATTTAAAAAATCATGTCATTTTACATCTGCTTTGTCACAGTATCAAGAATAATTTAATAAACGTTAGATCTAAGCAAACCAATGATGACGGAAAGGTGATCAGATAATTTGACCCATAATGTTATAATTAGAAACTGGGCGCAGAAAATTTGAAAATATAGAAAAGTATGCATGAATCAAGGTGTGTGTGCCAACAGTCAGGTAAATTTGTCATGCGATATTTTATGGCAAAGGTTCATAAACTCACATATTTGTTTTCTTGAAAGTTCGTTCTTGATTTTGAAAATGCAGAGTTGCGAAAACATTTTTTACGCGTTTGACACTAGGTGTTCTCTGGCAGTTTGGTTTTGAAGGAATATAGCGATATGTAGAAATGTAATTGAGATTATGAAAGAATCAAAAACGTATTTCATTCGGATATCATATAATACGATAATACCTTCCTCAGTTAAGTGTGATTTTTTCTGTGTGATTTCTACTTAGAAAAATAAACCACACATTCATATTTGTCCACCGTATAAGTCACAAGTTGTAAACATGATACAAAATATGACTACGATGCAATGGCTGAGAGGTGGACATTGCAATATGAAGAGTTTCCATTTATTTATGTTTTTACTACCACAAGATGGTTATTCTATTCCATAACCATTTCAAAATAGAACAGTTGTTGTGTAAACATATTTCGATGACACTGAATTAACCATTTTTATCCATTTCAAATAATAACCATAACCACGGGACATACAGTACAAACCAAACGTGTAAATACTTACTTAAACCCTTTCCAAAAATACTCTCCAGACTTCTTTACATCGGCAAGTGAATACATTGGGACACCACTAAGATTCACCAAAGCCTTCACCTGTTGAACAAATGTAATGAATGTTTACATTGTTTGTCCTAGCCCTTGTCATATTTCGGAAAAATGAACAGAAATAGTACATGATTTTCTTAATGTAATTGATAGTTGTTTGTTTGTTTGCTTAACGCTGCACTCAACAATATGGCGTCAATATGCGCAATTGGGATAGGATGACATGTGTCAAATCAAGTAAGCAAGCCTGACATTCCGATCCTGTTAGTCGCTTCTTACCACCAGTTCTTACACGGATCTTATCAGGTCTAAAAATTCATAGGTGAAAAGTGTCTGGTCTAGTGATAAATCCCGCTCACCTTATCAGTTGACATGCCAAGCAGGAAGGCCAGTTCACCTCCTTTGCAGTTACCAACCACACCAATACCCCCGGGCTGGACATCGGGATGAGAAGCGAGCCAGTTTACAGCATCCTGCGCCAAAAACACAAATATTATTGATACGTCATCCAGATATCTTCAGCCGCAGTGATGCCTTAATATATTCCATGAGATCTTTTTTCCCTTCTTATGGTACCTTATACCGCCAACATTACTTTGTGTTAGAAAATACCGTTTAACCTTTTGAAATATATAATGTTGGCTGCACATGATGCAAGACACACACACACACACACACACACACACACACACACACACACACACACATATAACGCTAAGTATTTAGCTTTTCGGTACGATTAATTTCACAGTAGCATTCCTGCAGTCCACCGTCTAAGCATGTTCAGGGTGAAATAACTTACAAGAAAGTAATCAAAATCAATGTCTGCTATTGAAGTCGGCAGATCATCATATCTAAAGTAGGCAAGAGCAAAGGACGCAAAGCCTCTAGAGGCCAACAAGGCAGCACGGAACTCGGCCAGACCTCCCGTTATCCCAATCATGTCGAGCACTCCAGGAAATTGGCTTTCACCTGTAAACAATCTATGATTAGTAATATAAACTGTGATGTAAAAGTATAGAATCATTATATAATTAAATTGCATTCTCATTCAAATTATTAATCATTCTGAGATGTGAATGTTCTTTGTGACTCAATATATTTCATATAAGACATAAAGGAGTGTTACATTGGATTGGTCTTCAGGGACCCATGCTTGTCGTAAGAGGCAACGAACGGGGTTGGGTGGTAAGTCTCGCTGACTTGTTGTATAGCTATTGTACAGCTAATCATTGTTGACTGCGGCGTTAAATAACAAGCAAACAAACAATAAACAGAATTAGGCATAACTTGGACTGTGTGGGCCTTACCTGCAGGCAAGAAGAGAGTTCCTCTCAGGGAACCTTCACGAACGACAATTCTCCTCACAGTATTGTGTTTGTACCAGCGTTCTAACCTGTCTGAGGCCAGCACCACTGTCGTGGCCATGTGGAAGTCAGCAAAGGGAACGTGGTCATCTATCACAGACAGCTTCAATACAAAAGGTGTCGTCACATCTCGCTTTCTAAGAAGCGGATCCTTTGAAACTCCTGGATCAACACCTGAATAGAAAGTAATGCATGGGGAAACACGTCATCAAATGATTTAATTCTGACTCACAAAAGTCCAGAAACTCTCGGGAGCACTGTGGGCACTTTCATGTGACAAGGGATTTGACCTCGCAAAATTAAACATGCAGTTGTTATCGAATATATGCCAAGGATGTTAAAAAATGAAAAAGAACATTCTTTCGAAAACTTTAAATTTACTGTGGGCACTTTCTGACTCGCCCATGCAGGCAGGCCCATGGGCGAACAGTGGCCCATGGGCCGGCCCATGGGCGAGAATGTTTAATTTCGATCAGAATTCATGTTTTGGAGGTTGTAAATGAATGAGTGTATGTTTGTAAGCATCATGAAACAAATTTCAACTCATTTTGACTTAATTCGACTAATTTAGAGCGATATTAAAAAATCTCGCCCATGGGCGAAAAACATTTTGGCCCATGGGCGAGAATATTGACTTTTACTCAAAATATGTGTTTTTCCATGTTTTGGAGGTTGTAAATGAATGAGTGTATGTTTGTAAGCATCATGACACAAATTTCAACTCATTTTGACTTAATTCGACTAATTTAGAGCGATATTAAAAAATCTCGCCCATGGGCGAAAAACATTTTGGCCCATGGGCGAGAATATTGACTTTTACTCAAAATATATGTTTTTCCATGTTTTGGAGGTTGTAAATGAATGAGTGTATGTTTATAAGTACCATGAAACAAAATTCAACTCATATTGACTTAATTCGACTAACTTAAAACGATATTAAAAAATCTCGCCCATGGGCGAAAAATAGGTAGGCCCATGGGCGAGAATATTGACTTTTACTCAAAATACATGTTTTCCCATGTTTTTGAGGTTGTAAATGAATGAGTGTATGTTTATAAGCATCATGACACAAATTTCAACTCATTTTAACTTAATTTGACTAACTTAGAGCGATATTAAAAAATCTCGCCCATGGGCGAAACACATTTTGGCCCATGGGCGAGAATATTGGCTTTAACCAAATACATGATTTTCCATGTTTTGGAGGTTGTAAATGAATGAGTGTATGTTTATAAGTACCTTGAAACAAAATTCAACTCATATTGACTTAATTCGACTAACTTAGATGGATGCTAAAAATCTCGCCCATGGGCGGAACACATTTTGGCCCATGGGCGAGAATATTGACTTTACTCAAATACATGATTTTCCATGTTTTGGAGGTTGTAAATGAATGAGTGTATGTTTATAAGTATCATGAAACAAAATTCAACTCATTTTGACTTAATTCGACTAACATAGAACGATATTACAAAATCTCGCCCATGGGCGAAAAATAGGTTGGCCCATGGGCGAGAATATTGACTTTTACTCAAAATACATGATTTTCCATGTTTTGGAGGTTGTAAACGAATGAGTGTATGTTTATAAGTATCATGAAACAAAATTCAACTCACATTGACTTAATTCGACTAACTTAGAACGATATTAAAAAATCTCGCCCATGGGCGAACACATTTTGGGCCCATGGGCGAGAATATTGACTTTTACTCAAAATACGTGATTTTCCATGTTTTGGAGGTTGTAAATGAATGAGTGTATGTTTATAAGTACCTTGAAACAAATTTCAACTCATTTTGACTCCATTTGACTAACTTAGAGCGATGTTAAAAAATCTCGCCCATGGGCGAAAAATAGGTTGGCCCATGGGCGAGAATATTTACTTTTATTCAAAGTATATGGTTTCCATGTTTTGGAGGTTGTAAATGAATGAGTGTATGTTTATAAGTATCATGAAACAAAATTCAACTCATATTGACTTAATTTGACTAACTTAGAGCGATATTAAAAAATCTCGCCCATGGGCGAAAAAGAGGTTGGCCCATGGGCGAGAATGTATAATTTCGATCAGAAGTCATGTTTGGGAGGTTGTAAATGAATGAGTGTATGTTTATAAGCATCATGACACAAATTTCAACTCATTTTGACTTAATTTGACTAACTTAGAGAGACATTAAAAAATCTGGATTATTTACGGTAACATGGATTAGCTAATAGCGAATTGCCGGGAGACCCACTTTCACTCAACCATACCCATTGCCGGTTGAGCCAAACCATTTTCAACTCTTGTTCTCTTAAAAGTGGCTTTCCCGGACTATAGCTATCAGCACACCCCAATCCGACCATCTGTCATTAATTACCTGTCATGAGCTATCAGTTGTATTGAAAGCTCTCGCCTATTGTTTCATTACTTAATTGTTTCACGGATTGGTATGTAGTCACTCCAAATTCACCCATATGTGCGTGACTGTCCTCTCCGACGTCCGCGCCCACCTCTCAACCTAGCAATCTCGATCCACTTTCTGCTCACTATCAAGCCATCTACAACTTCACCTCTCTCTCCAACCACCTGTCTTCTCAGAGGTCCGCGCGCCTCTATATTCCTTCATTTTTTCACATCAACTCTACCTCCCAACAACTACTGTCTCCTCCGAGGTCCGCCGCCTCTCAAGTACCATCCATAACAAACTCCACGGTCAAGGCCGCCCATAGCCCCTCAATTACTACATTCGCTCAGCCTGCCTTGCCCCCCTCAATGCTCCCATACCACCCCTTCACCCCACCCACCCTAGAAGGACTTACAAGGTCCTTTCATACGTTGGCGACTGTGCACAAATTTAGCCATCACTTAAAAACACAAGTATCCTACTATTATAAACCTGGTGTATCTAAATTTACTTCAAATGTTTTTAGACATACGTACCCTCTCAAGAAGACAAAACTGTGAAACCCGTGAAGGTCCGGGTCAGAATTGGCCTTCAGTAACCCATGCTTATCGTAAAAGGTGACTACCGGGATCGGGTGGTCAGGCTCGCTGGCTTGGTTGACACATGTCATCGGTTCCCGATTGCGCCGAACCCGTGAAGATCCGGGTTAGAATTGATCTTCAGTAACCCATGCTTATCGTAAGAGGCGACTAACGGGATCGGGTGGTCAGGCTCGCTGGCTTGGTTGACACATGTCATCGGTTCCCAATTGCGCTGATCGATGTTCATGCTGTTGATCACTGGATTGTCTGGTCCAGGCTCGATTATTGGAATATTGCTGAGTGTGGCGTAAAACTAAACTGACTCATCCAACTGCTTAGATCGATGCTCAATTTGTTGATCACTGGATCGTCTGGTATAGACTCGATTATTTACAGACCGTCGCCATATAGCTGGAATATTGCTGAGTGCAGCCTAAAACTAAACTTACTCGCTCACTCACTCCAAACTGTGAAAATTAGGAACACCTCTAGCTACCAACAATGTCAACAAGAACATAATGGAGTCCCTGCATCAATACATCTTCAAGACTAAACGAATCGATAAATTATTCTAGACCAATATCTGTACGCAAATAATTAAATGTAACTGCAAGTTCAAGGTTCCTAAGCACGTACGTACAATGCACATTTACCCTACCTCATGTAATAATGTCCATCTCTGATTGATTCACGTGACCTTGAACAAATGGTGGACGGAAAAAAGTCATAGGAAAAAAAGTCATGAAAAAAAAGACATAGAAAAAATAACTATTATAAAACATCATGTCCTCCAGTTATTTACTTTGTTTATACTATTTCAAGTTAATTATTCCTTTAGTGTGACGCTTTAAGCAATTGGATCTTATCAAAACAGGAGAGATGAACAGATTGTGGGATTAAAAGTCACAAGTCACCTGATTGTTTATTTAACTAGCTTTGAGCTTGACGATATCACAGCGATTAATGAACTCATGGGATTATCAGTTAATGCTCTTACTCAAATGGCTCCCTTCTAGCAGCTAATATAAGACTCGCTGGCCGTCAGACTGTGATCCAAACTCTTCATGGCATTGGCTGGAACATTCGGTTAAATATAATAAAAATATGCTGGGACAACTGACTGATGTAGTGCTGTTGCAGATTAAAGTGTTATGATGACAGTGCATTTTCTGATGTCATGTATTTTACTTGAATGATTACATTAATTTTATAAGTTAGGTTCAAATGTGGTAGTGCTGTTGATGATAATATTGTTATGACGTGTTAAAAAAAATACATCATCAATACTGACCTTTTTGAGTTTATGACTTTTTCCTATGACTTTTTTCCTACCCAAATCTATTACTTTTTCCCTATGACTTTTTCTACAACCGACCAAATTACAATGTATGCCGGGTGCACGGTTGTGCACTGCTTGGGTGGTGTTGTACAAATCATTAGGCAGAATAAATCATTTATATCCCGCCCCATTGAAAAAACGGTATCTTCCCATAAGACAGACAAAATAGTTTATTTATGTGTCACGTGAATGTACATAAGATAGACCTCCCAAAAAGACAGACCGCTTAAAACAGCACGTTTTATGGTTGGTTGCATAAGGCTTAATGAAGCTGTACCCTTGAAAATGTGCATCCACGGCAGTCAGTAAACCGTGAAGCAGTGGTTCAAATCGACTGGTCAATACCTTGTTAGTGAAATATATGACTGAATTTCAAGCTATATTTACATGAAGAGAGATTTAAGATATTTTGCCTAAGGTTATGTATAAATATGGTTTTATAAAAATCTTTCTATGATGTATATTTTGACCCTCTAGATAACAGTGTTTCATAAGCCTGTCAAGGCTGGATGTATGTAAAACATTATGCGTTTATGTTATATGTATTATATATCTTGTTTACATACATGGGGCACTTTGATAAACTATGTCTAGCTGTCTGTCTGTCTTTAAACATTCGTTAAGATAAATTCTGTTTACTATTGTGATGCGGTGTATTCGAGGATTTTTGCGTCCCGTTTTATCCACCTAGCCGAAGGCGTCAGCGACAGTTTGCTACTACTTATGATAGGAATTAATTTGACGTTTTTGTTTATCCAGTTCTTGTGTATTCTGTTATATTTTATATGTACCGGTGAGGTATTAATAAAAGCAATGTTTTGCTTGTTTACCAAACCAGATTCTCTGATAATATAAATATGTTTAAAC